GAAAGCGTTTTTACATCGCTCCAAACTTCTCAGGTGAGTGTGACTATTGTCGGCAGTCTCTTTTTCTTCGGCAACCTTCCCATTAGAACTGCGTGTTAACCAGCTGTTCTATTATCGGCAACTCGAAATCAACCTCATTTTGTAGTGCGTATGCTTTATTTGAAGAAAAATGTAGCATTACTGGATTGCTCGATCGTTCAAATATAATCAGATTGAAGCTGAAAGGCTAAACAATCGTTTGGACACATTCAGGGAAGTGCGTTGATGGGAAAACATAGTGAAATTAACGTTTAAATTTTGGTTGCCGAAAACAGTCAATGGGTGCCGAAGCCAACATTTACCCTAATTCAATATCTGTAGTATCGAAGTATGCCCAAATTTGCAGTGTCTATGTGGATCATGCCAACCTATTTCCGTGTATGCCAAATGTTCTAGGATTTCCAAATCGATATTTCGATAACTACCTATATTATCCCAGTCTTTGTTGATATAGTAAAACAAATCATCTGAACTGCAGGACGATTTGGAAAACCTAGATCGTCTGGTATACGTGGAAATAATTAAACATTATCCATATAGACACTATGAATCTGTTTGGATATATTTCTATACTACAGACTTTATCCTAGTCATGGTTGGTCTAGTAGAATAAATCATCTGAACTCCAGGACGATTTGAAGAACCTTGAACATCTGGATTACACGGAAATAGATCATGCGTGATCCACATAGACACTTAATCTGATTGGACATTTTTCGATACTACAGACATTATTGCAGTGTTAGTTGATCTAGTAGAACAAATCAACTGATGTCCTGGACGATTTGAAAAACCTATAATTTCCGGTATACATAGTAATTAGTCGCGAATGATCCGCAAAGTCACATATATACGATTCGGTTATGATTTGACAACGAAAAGTGCTAGGTTCATATTAGAAAAAAAAACTATCATGAAAATGTCTCACCATTGGAAAATCCGTGTAAATACAGAACCGCGACGTGACCAACAAGTGTGACTTATGAAACTCTAGTAATTTCTCGATTATGTGCAGGGTGTTTGGTTTGAATCGGTTAAAAATTTAGGAATCTAGAGCCTGGCTCTTAACTAAAACATTTAGGACAGCAAAATACGTCAGAGACGCAAAGGTTAATTTTCAAGAAAATTTGCATTAATTTTTTTAAAAATAATGTTTCATCAAATCTAGGCCGGTATTAATCAATAGAATCTCATAATGTAAGGGTGTTTTATTATGTTCACTAATTACTCAGAATTTATACTATACATAAATAACTGAAGATGATACATTGTTATTTTTTGATTTTTTTTCAATGGTTGCAAACGATACTCCTTTAGCTCAGTCGGTAAAGGCGCAGCTACAAAGCTAGTCCATGCTGGAGGCGACTGAGTTCGTTTCCCGTCCGCTATATTAATTTTTCGGGTTGGAAAATTTCTCTACTTCCTTGGGCATAGGATGGTACAGGCATAGAAAGCTCTCAATTAAAATGCGAAAGTACTTCAAAGAACACTAAGTTGAGAACAGGCAAAAATCTAATATACTATAAGCAATAAGCTTGAAATGCCATGTAGTAGTATACAAATGGTATTTTTAGGTAATGAAAACAGTTTTTTTTTGTCGCGGATTAGTATTTGAAGTCGCGGATTTCTTTTGAGAAATCGCGGATTTCGCGGATCAAATTTAGAAAATCTTGTTACAGCCCTGTATTTTACTAAACTTATGAATCAACCGGCGTCGGTGGTGTAGTGGTAAGCGTGACTGTTTTCTCACCCCAAAGGGGCTGGTCACTAGACTGATGCAAGATTTGAAATTTTCGCTCCACAGTGCTCAAACGGCTTCAAATCAGGTCCTGAATAGCCTCCCAAAATTTAAACTCATTTAGTGAGAAACTGACTTGGCACAAATCATTCGAAGTTTATATGGAAATTACTATGGGAAAACCAATCTTTTTGTTCATTGTCTTCTACCCATTTTCCATATTGCTTTTACGAAAAGGGAATTTTTCTAAGCTACAACTTTGCGGAATATCGTTTTTCAGCTAAATGTCAAATTAAATAGTTATTAATTGTTTAAGAGATTGATAATCTTAATGCATGATCAAGCAGCTGTTCTGTTAGAAACACTGTATTCTGCAGTGTGACATAGTAGCCATGATATTTGTGCTGTATTCTTCTCACCAGAAACACCAATGTTGCCTGCTGAACAGTTGAATGAGCATAATCATAAGAAATCAGTGACTTGAATCATTAATAACTTTTGTTCCGTGCATTTTATTGAAAAGTGGTTTTCAACAAAGTTGTAGCTGAGAAAATTTGCTACAATTACTGCTATCATTTTTAAAAGCACAGTGATGTGGTGAATTGTTAGATAAATACAAACAAAAACATAAGTTTTCCCATTGTAATTCCCATATAAACTTGAAATGGTTTGTGCCAAGTCAGTTTCCTACTAAAGTAGTTCAAATTTTGGGAGGCTAATCAGGGCCCAATTTGGAACCGTTTGAGCACTGTGGAGCGAAAATTTCAAATTTTGCATCAGTCTACTGGTCACGTCTTCCTTCGGAAGGGAAGTAAAGTTGTTGGTCCCGGCCCATGTGTGTTGAATGGGTGCGATATCCTACGCAGGTGTGGAAGCTGCCTTCCTGCACATCCGTCGGTGATTGGCACTAGCTTGCGGAACATAGACCGACGGTAAATAAAGGAAAGAAGAATACACTTATGAATTGATTATACGCTTAGGGATGATGCATAAATTATGTCACGCTCTAAGAGGGAGAGGGGTTAATTTTTCCTTAATTTTGCTTGACATAATTAATGTACGGCCCCTTACATAATAATGCCACGAATGGTTTTAGTCACCTTTCTCACCGGTATAGGGTATTACCGTCTTACTGTTACGTCTTTTCAATTAACATAAGGGAATTCGGGAAGTGGACCATATTGTGAATTTATAATATTTGCTATTTTGCTGCTCGCTTGAATGAATGAATTTTCAGTTAATTTATTCACTCAAAAGTGGTTAAAATGCTCTTTCTGCCTAACCACAATGTGTTGCAATTATTTTCATAACTGTTATATAAACAGTCGAAATCAAAATTTTAAGTAAAAGTGAAGTCGTAATACCTACTCATTCTACTAAAGTACCCGTAGTGGTCCGTAAATTCCCTTATTGTGACTCCAATTTATTTGTATTTTAAAATTTCAAAATTTGCTCAACCGGACTAAGATTGAGGGAACTTTTAATAATGTATGCAGAACTGTATAGATACATTAGGTCTGTTCTCGTACTTGCTTTTCTGTAAGATTCTATACAACAAAAAGCAAAAGTAGGTTCCCGTATTTTCTGCACCATACGGAAATTTTTTAAATGGAAATTCAGTTGCCACCCTGTATGAAGCAATACCATGCTGGAGGCAACTGGATTCGATTCCCGGTCTGGTCTTGGATTTTTCGGGTAGGTATAACAATTTCTCGAAAGCTCTCAATAACTGTGGAAGTGCATCTAGAACACTACGTTTGAGGGCCGGCCTAAAGTCTCAGTAGGTACACAAAATAACATCATAAAATCAAGGTTTTTTTCACCCTCCCTTTTGATCTTTGCTATACTTCCGCTCATAGCAAGTCCGTCCCATAGCACAATAATTCAGCAAACTGAGAAAAACGCGTTTAGAGTTTGCTTCTCACCATTGCTTCTTATGTAATGGGACAATCCGTTTGGCTATTTTTCCTAACTTTTACATAACGAAGTTTTTGAGTTCATCTAGTATTGTGAAAATATTGGTGATTAGCATTAAAAAAAAAAAAAACAGTTCCGAAAAAACGCAAATGGGACCGTCTTGCGATGAGCGGCAGTATAGCTAGCGTTTAGAATCATAAGAGCCTAACGGCCATGATCGATTTCCTCTTTTGGTCAAGGCAACCTTTTAGATCACTGTACTGATTTTTTTCTTTCGGAAAATTAATTCACTTAAATGTTGCAGAAGATAATCGAACATAACAGTTAGGGCCTTATGATTCTGAACTATGAACGCACTTTTTGCTGATTCCAGATCCCCCAACGGCTAATCGCACAAACGCAGGTAGCGGTATCCATTTCTCGCGAAGCCCTACACCATATTTAAAGTCAATACAATGTCGGCAGCAGGTCGCTCAAAAAGGTTCTCATATGACCGTTTTTTCGCACTTGTCTGCATCAGCCGATGCCTTCCCTTGCCTGTACCCATACGAGCTGTTCCCTTTTTCGTAGTTATTTTAACGCTTCCTTTCTTCTGTTTTCAGTTTGTGATTCTGTTCTATCTTGCAAAGAATTTCAAGGCCGTTTGCCGTGTGGCGGTTATGTTTTGTAATTTTGTTCGAAAAAAGTGTGTTTTCTATTTATTCACACAGTATAGATGTTTATTTTCATTGGTCTGTCGGTCGGCGGGGAATTGTTTCGTCGAGCGAAGAAGTTCGATATGACCATCGAGTCAAATACTATATGGATGGGCATGGCTCGTGGCTCCAGTCAACTGATGGGATTAAAAGGCATATTTCTTTGTCAACAATATGATTGCCATTTAATCATGAGAGAAAGTGAGATAACGACGGCTTTGTACTGAAGCTTCCTTGCTCGCTCGGTCATAGTTGTGATCTACCCATGAATCAGAACAGTTAGCTACGAAGATATATCGGAGCCGTAATAGCTTGCACTTCCTCGCTAAAAATATAATCGCTGCCTTTGCCATATACATATTTCCCCATTACACAAACAGCGCTGCTAGCGGAATAACGACAACTGGCTAATTAGTCATTGACGCTCGATATTGTTTATATTTGTTGCCCCGCTGCCCGAATCTTGGCAGTTAAATTTTTCTGTTATTTAAAGGGCGATAATACGTCGTTGGAGGTTGCTCGAAATTTAGTTATTCTTTTAGTCACACTGGATGACCTTCATATAAATTTTTCATTCTAATTAATTTTGTTTTATTTTTATTTTTTTACAGGCCTCTGAGAATCCCGTAACCAACCGGAGGATTTGAACAAACCTCGGTTTGGCAAAGGAGGTGCTCCAGGCACACAGTGAAAATGCGCAGAAGGTGGCAAAGATCGGATCAAGCAAACCAACTCAGTGACAATGCGGTGTTCAGTGTTCATATATGGTCTTGGAGCAAAAATAGTCCGGTGGCACCGAGTGGTCTAATCAATTAGCAAACACATGACAATAATCAAAGCGGTGTAGAAACGGATGGTGCACAATTCATCACCGTTCGTGGTAGTTAGTGCATTGCGGTGAAGATTCGTTATATACACAAACAACAGCGACGTCACTGGTAGTGGCTCATCGGAAGAAGCGAATCAATTAAACAGCAATCGCGGCGCGATAGTGAAAAAGTGGTGCAAAGCACAGAAGCAATCCGGAAAGGTAAACATAATTCAAAACGTGACGTGAGTGTGATAATCGCCCCGCCGTTACCGTCACTACTAGTGCTGCTGGTACTACTGTCAGTAGTATGCCTATAATGAGGCCGGGTAGCCTGAAGGATCCCGAGATAGCCGAGCTGTTCAACAAGCATGACCCGGAGAAGATTTTCGAAGATCTGCGCGAAATCGGCCATGGATCGTTCGGTGCGGTGTATTACGCAAAATGCAATCTCACGCGCGAGATTGTCGCGATCAAGAAAATGTCCTACATGGGCAAACAGAGCATGGAAAAGTGGCAGGATATCCTGAAGGAGATTCGCTTCCTACGGCAGCTGAACCATCCGAATACGATCGAGTACAAGGGATGCTATCTGCACGAGAACACGGCATGGCTGGTGATGGAGTATTGCGTCGGATCGGCTTCCGATATAATCGAGGTGCACAAGCGGCCCCTCAAGGAGGAAGAAATATCGGCCATCTGCGATGGAGTGCTGCGGGGGTTGAGCTACTTGCACGGTCTCGGAAGGATTCATCGGTAAGTAGTTGGTTGGTTATGATTCGTAGAACGATTGGTCATTTTCAAGTATCAATCATTTGGTGACAAGGAAATGGTTCGTGAATACGTTATGGTATCTTAAGCTTTATAGATATCCGCCGTATTCTTTGCATCAGGGGAGAACCTATATAAAAGATCATTTTGAAGGGTATGCTTCAGGTGAAATCTTTGCTAGAGTTCTTGAAAGATTTCGTATAATGCTACCTACAAACTAAACTACTTTTATCCTTTTATAAAACAGCCAGTTTTTATACGAACATAAATTATAAAAAACAGCCAGTTTTTATACAAACAAAATTAAACTGTTGTAACTTCGTTCCAAAGAGGTCGTTCCAACTAAACGTATTACCGTAAACCGCCCTAATTCTGCGCAGTTAAGGAATATGAAAATTCAACTAAGTATTAAAAAAATATCATAGATGCTAGCGATAAACTGTTTCTACCCGAAAGTAGTGCTATTATAGTAGTATGTCAGAAAAATGAAGCACAACCAAAATCTACGACCAAAACTTTTTTTAAACGGAAATTGTTTTCGATGTACTTGTGCCTAATTCCGCGCATTTGAAAAGTGCGAATCCTAATTCCGTGCAAAAATGACCCTAATTCCGCGCACGTTAAAAATAATTATAATTGAGAGATTTTTTGCGCTTTTGTGATTGCGACTTAGTCGTACATCCAGGGACATGCTTGGCATACACAGTCATGGTCACGAACTGCTCGTTTGCTAATAACTTTGCACACAGTTGACGGAACATAGTTCTTTTTGAAGCAGTAGATAGAATAGAGTGTAAGCTTGTTATAGATATGTAAAAAAAAGTAGATTTTAATGCTAGTAGTAAACTGTATTTGTTTTTGCATTGTAAAAATGAGGTGAGCAATGTTCACTACACATCTCGGAATTTGAGTGTTAAATTGATTAGTGTTGATTCAAATGTTAAGCTTTACCTAATATTCGCATATCTATAGTAAACTATGAGCCTAATCTATCAATTACTTTAAAGAAAAATAAATTTCAACATCTGAGTGAAAAAGTTATTACCAAATGAGCAGTTGGTGTGTACAACTGTGCTTGCCAAGCATGTCCAGGGATATCCCACGCCCATAGGGACGATCCATAAATGACGTAGCATTTGTGGGAAAGGAGAGGGGGCTTACACAAGTTGTGACTAACCATGTATAGAGTAAAGAAAAAAAAATGCTACAAGGGAGAAGGGGATGTCTAAAATTAACCAACAATATGCTATGTCATTTATGGATATTCCCTTAGTTGATTCTTCCATATGAAAAAAAAAACACATGTCTTTATGAAAAACAACTCAATAATTCAGCATATTAAAGGTTTACTTGGTCCTGAGCTTTAAAAACAATGTTTGGAACCTGGTTTGGAATTGATCTTTCCAAAATTTTGCTCTTCATTTCTTCTGTTTAAGCAATCGATCGAATTTCTTCGTTAACATTTCTCTTTCCTTCTGTTTTTTCTTGCGCATTTTCTGGTCCTTTTTCTTTTGGCGTTCCACTTCCCAGCTAACAATTTTAGCTGCAGATTAGCTTATACAGCCCAAAATTGGCTTATACAGCTAATTTTTGCCTGTATAAGCTAGTCTGCAGCTAAAATTGTTTGTTGGGTTCTTCCTGCAGCTTTTGTTTTTCAATTCCATCCTCATAATCCTTATAGGCCTTGCTCGTGGCTACCGACGGCGGATGGCCTTTCTTCATCTTTCGGGCAGGAACCTTCAATGTTGGCTTCTTAAATGATTCACTGAAACTGTCATTAGCCTCTTCCTGTGAGTTAGCGATGCTTGGTGCAGATACATCAAGGGTGTTACCTTAATACAATTAAAACAAGTTACGTATTTTTGAACAGCTGGTGAACAAAAAAGTAAAACAAAACGGAATACCTTTCGATTTCTGATCGTCGACTCCAAAACCCTTAAATGGGGGTTCGTTTTCAAGATCATCAAAATAACAATTCATGGATGATGACACAAAACTGGCTTCCATTCCTAATTTTGCTTTTTTCCATACAAAGAATAAATTAGCGTCCTGGATCGGACCCGCCCAATCTCCCGTATCGATATTTGCTTGGAAACGTTGTTGTTGTTCAGGTGTTAAGTATGTTTCCAATTCCTTCACGAAATCATTGTTTGATCGTGGATACGATGTGGAAGCTCCTTGTTCGTGGTGTTCAAGACTCGATGTCTCATTATTGTCTGTTACCAATGAATCGTAGTTGACTGCGTCTACATCAAAAGGGTACAATCCGGATCGCCGAAAGCCATTCACCAAGGTTGATGTTAAATGAACCATCTGTCCAATGGCCTTTTGAAGCAGAGGTGCGATTTCACTTCTTGAAAGTATTTCACCTCCGTGATCGATTCTCCATTCCGTTAATGATTGATTCCAAAAAGATTTCAATGGCCGGAAAAATGAAACGTCGAGTGGCTGCGTAATTTGCGTGCTGTTGGGTGGTAGACATATCAGTATTATATTTGCTTTCAGACACAGCTCCGTAGTGAGGGGGGACACGTGGCTTTTGTGGCCGTCTAAAAATACTACAACCGGTAAAGCAATCTTCTCTGTCAGCAGCCATGGATGGAACACGTCGCGAAGGTACAAATAATACGTGTCCCTATTCATCCATCCCGTTTCCGTTCTCCCAGCTGCCCAATTCGGTGGTAATTTTTTGAAAATTTCTCCGGGAATCCGTTGCTTGTATGGAAATAGCAATAGAGTTGGCGCTAATGTTCCGGAGGCGTTCGGGGCAAATAAAGCAGTATAGGACTCTTTATCGGAATTGCCAACACGAACATGAAGATGACGGGTTCCTGTGTCAGCTAAAACCACTTCTTTAGTCGGTATTGTGCGCACTGCGGTTTCGTCCATGTTAAGTATTCTCGATGGATCCTTCAAAATATATCCGTGGCCCTCAGCTTGGATGTATCCTTTAATTTCCGTAAACCAGTGCCTGATCTGGCATTCGGATACAGCAGCTCGGTGCTTCGGAAGCACACTTGGGACACGTCGAGCTATGTTTGGGTGACGTTTCAAAAAAAGCTTCATCCATTTCCGCCCGGAATGCCTCCTTTAAACTTTCTCTTCCTTCCTTGAACGTAATGTGCCACACATGCGGTCAATTTCTGGGTATTGACAGGGAATCCCACTTTTACCATATCCAAAACCCAAGAAACGATGCGGGTTTCTTCATCGTATGTTAAAACGGTGGGCGCTCCAGGTTTCTCTTGTTGGGAGGTTGTTTTCAATTTATCCCGCAGTGTGCTCTCCGGGATTCCACTGGAACGAGATACCTGACGGATCCGGTTACCCTTCCGGATTGATGCCAGTGCTGTTGATAAATGTTCCAGTGAGTACTGCATATTTTTCCGTGACGGCATTCTGAAAAGTAAACACACGGAATTAAGCCGAAGTCAAAAACAAAGATTCGTAATTCCGCGCAAGAGATTTTCTGCTGTATTTCACTTTATATGCATGTCACTATTCAAATAACCACTGAAATATGTTAAACATTCCTGTCGAGACTCAAAGTGTACACTATATCACTGCAAACAACACTTTTTAAAAGAAAAAAAATTGTCTTGTTTATACAATACATACAACGCTCGAACGCAGCGAAAAAATGGCGACTGACAGGATCCGCAAGTGATTTTCTTTTTCTCTACGCGACACAGGATGTTTATTGTTGTTCATTTCAACGCAGCACATATCTTCATACAGTAAAGCATGCCACACATCGACAATTCAGGCTCAACATAGCATTTAATTGACATAAATCATTAATTTGATTTAAAATGCGCGGAGTTAGGCGATGCGCAGAATTAGAGCGGTTTACGGTATAATAAAATGAAAGATCTATGCAATTTTCATGAATTAGCAACATTTCAGGTCATTTTCCTCCTAGCTCTTAAAAATAAAGCAATTTGAAACAAGTTTCTCAATAAGAAGAGATTTAATCAAGCAGCAGGAGTTGCTCAAGCAGCCGACAGACCCAATCGTTCAAGCCCAAAATTGTACAGATGTATAATAGTGAATATTTGTTCAATCAGTAATCAAAATTTCAGGAATTTTGATACACCGCTTTGAACAGTTTTGAATAAAATCAGAAATTTTAAGAACAATTTTACATTTTTTTTTTTTGAGAATTGTTTATTACACCACATGAACTTCAGTGTTCACTCGGCTGTCGACAAAAGCAGTTCACTCTCGATGTGTGCTACGCGATCGTCTGTTTTCTCGGCAGCAACCATTGTGTGGTCCTCCTCATTGTTCTTCATCAGCAGTTCTTTCGGTCGATGCGTCGTCGACTTTGGAAAGCAACCGTTTCGTGATGAGTGTGTGAGTGCTGACCACGTTTTGCGTCCATTGCTGCAATGGACGCGCTCTGACCCTCGTTGGCGTACAACAATTTGCCATACAATGAAACTACTAGAAGCGGCTCCAGTTCTGATGGAGGAGGCTTTTTGGATAGCGGAAGATAAAGTGTTTATTGTGTTGTACCTTTTGACTATAGTTTTAAAATGTATTGTATAGTGACCAAGAATCCTCGGCTCTGTAAAGTTAATTCGGTTGAGCCTTATCAAATAAATTAATAAACAATTAAAAACCACATGAACTTATCTTTTACTGTAGTACAAGTATCGCATGCTTGGTTCGCTCGGCCTTATAAAGGGTTAGGCAAACTTTACGGAGTCTAGTAAAGTCTTTAAAAACAACTCTACGATCATTCAATAAAAAAACACTGTTTCGGATCAGAAAAAGGGTCGTGATGAGTTCTTCTGATGTTTTTTGATTGGTGGCTGTGTGCCTTACGCACGTACTAATAATGGGAAATTATTCTCACGTCTCATTCATTGAGCGCTCAGGAGCAGTGCTGAAATTTTGTATTGTCATTGACATTGACTCGCGCGCTGTTGCCAACATTGTTTTTCACAAAGTTACTGTGCAATTTCGTGCATTCTGATGTC